CAGAAATGATGACGGATTCTCCCCCGCAGCCGGCTCCCGTCTTAGACCTCAGAGTGACAGGGGAAAAAATAAAATAAATGTGACCGCGATACATCAAAGTGGAGGGTTTCGGGGTTTTTCTCAATGAAAGCGACATCTCTTTGCTAAAATAATAACAATAAAACTTCCGTCAGATATATTTCATCCCCTTTCCCATTGTAGGCTTCCAATCTAAGGATAAACTTTCATGGGAGCTGAGAGGAGGGCAGGCTTTTCCCCTCTTTCTTTATTCTTATATATGTGTGTATATGTATACCTATTTTTTTCCCACTGTTTATTTCTTTGTGTCAGCCACAGTCTTTCTATTCGAAGCAAATCCCAGACCTCTCCCGAAAGGGGGAAGGTAGGAGCAGGAAAGGATGCACACGGTCACAAAGAAGGGGTTTCTCCCCCGGGGCAACACTGTTTATTATTTTTCCCTGTTTTTAAAATAATAATTAGGAAAAAGAAAAAAAAAAAAAAAGATGGGGGGGAGGGGGGAGAGGGGAAGAAAGAAAGAAAGAAAGAAAAAGAAAAAGAAAAAGAAAAAGAAAAAGAAAAAGAAAAAGAAAAAGAAAAAGAAAAAGAAAAAGAAAAAGAAAAAGAAAAAGAAAAAGAAAAAGAAAAAGAAAAAGAAAAAGAAAAAGAAAAAGAAAAAGAAAAAGAAAAAGAAAAAGAAAAAGCCAGAGTGGATTGCCGGGGCCTGAGAACCTCGCGGAAAGCCTCCCAGGGAGCGGGACCCGGCGGGGCGGGGGCCGGCGAGCGGCTGTCCGCTAGATGGCAGCCGGCGCCAGCGATTCCCGCTCGGCTCCGCGCCACCGCCGGGGCTGCCGGGGCCGCGCCGGGCCGGGCCGAGCCAAGCCGCGCCGAGCGCCGCGGGGCGCGGAGCGCGGCCGCCCCCCGGCCCCCGACCCGCCGCCGCCGCTCCCCGCCGCGCCGGGAGTCGCGACCGCCGCCGAGGTTTGCTCTGCGCGGGTGGAAGTTACTTGGGGTGGGGGAGCGGGGGAACGGCGTTGTGAAGTGGGGGGGTGGGGGTCCCGAAGCGGGTTTGCACGCGAAGGGGGCGACGGGGCCGTTGCGGATGCTTTCCCCCCGCCCCCCTCCCACCAAATGCTGCTCCCGGGGGTTGAGAAAAGCGAGTTTCCCATCCCCCTCTCTTTCCCCCCCCAGGGGGATATCGGTCCGGGTGGGGGTGCGGAGCGGAAATGGTCTCGGCGCGGCGTGCGCGGGGTGCGGTGCGGTGCGCTCTTTCCGTGCTCCTCTACAGCCCCTCGCTTGTTTTTTTTTTTGTTTGTGTGTGTATGTGTGTGTGATTGGAAGCAGAGAGAAAAATCCTATTTAAAAATGTGGAAAAAAAAATAAAGGGGGGGGGGGGGGGGAGGAGGAATTGTGGTGTAAACTTTTCACGGGGTGCCCAAACCGTCCCCATTTAACTGCCCCTCTCCGCCTATCGCAGTGCACCCTACGCTTTTGATGTGTGTGCGGGTCTGTGCGAGAGAGAGAACGGCGGGGAGACCGCAGCCGACCCATACTAATCAGGTCTCAAAGTAAATAGCAGCGCAGGGCGATCTCAATGTAAATTGCGCTTGTCAGAAGAATCCCCTCGCTCTCTGCCTCCCTCCCTCCCTCCCTCCCTCCCTCCTTTCCTCTCTCCCCGCTCTCTCCTCCCCTCCCTTCCCCATCCCAGTCAGTAGGTAGCAGAGAATTAAAGGAAAAAAAAAAAAAAAAAAAACGCTGGGGGGTAACCAATGGAGCGCGGGAGGCTTGGCTAACCCCAGCCTCCCATGTTCTCTCCCCCCCAATTCAGGGCTCTGACCAGTCAGTCGCCTTTGATTATCAGTTGCCAGCAGCCCTTCTCTTGGCTCCTTGACATGAGCTCCATATAAGGCAGCGATCTCCATAGAAACGTGTCAGTTTCAATAGTAGTGTCAAAGTTCACTATATACAGACATTCGCGCAGATCCCCCTTTCGGAAACATTGCTCTGCTCGGCTTCCCGTTTAAACGCATTCATTTTTTGGGTCTCTCTCTCTCTCCCTCTCTCTCTCTCTCCCCCTCTCTCTCTCCCTTCCTTGCATATTCTATTAGTTGTTTTTTTTTTTTTTTTCCCCCCTTCATCTCCCTCTTCTCCTTCCTTTTCTTCTTTTTTCCACCCTTCCTCCTCGTGTCTCTCGCTTCATTCCTGCAGGAGGAGAAGAGAAGAAGAGAGAGGTGAAACTAAAAAAAAAAAAAAAAAAAAAAAAAAAAAAAAAAATCGGAAAGAAAGGAAAAAGGGGAAAAAGCCGAGCGAGAGCCGGGGGGGCAGCGCGGAGCGAGAGCGAGCGGGCGCGTTCCCACCGTGATGCCGTTCTCATTTTGACCGTTCTCGCCGATTTTTTTTTTTATTTTGGGGGAGGGTTTTGCTACCGGCTGATGAGTTTTTACCCGAAATACTTTTTTTAGGCAAACAAACAAAAAAAAAAAAAAGAGGACCTTTCGGGGGGCGATCTCCACCGCTCTTTTTTCTTTTTTTTTTTTTTTTCCCCTCGCCAGCACCGTGTGTTCACACAGGAGAAGAAGAAGGAAGGGGCAAGGAAGAGGAAAAGAAGAGGATTTATTTACCCGACCTACTTTGGATCTCTCTTTTTCCTGCGTGTGCCATTATTATTCCCGTCCTCTATTTTTACACTTCGCCGTGAATTCGTCTCCTCTGCGAATTTAGTCACATCCGATTTTTTTTTTTGTAATTTTTTTCTTTTTTTTTTTTTTTTTTTTTTTTTTGAAAAAAAAAAAAAAAGAGAAGGAGAGAGAGAGAAAGAGAGAGAGCGAGAGCGAGGAGAGACACAGAGAGCGCGAGCGCCGAGCTCGAGAGAAAGAGCAGCGCCCGGCACCCTCCTCCGCCGCCGCCGACACGAGATCAAACTGCCTCAGCTCCCCGCCCGCCCCCGCCGCGCTCCCCGGCTCCACCGCGCTGAATGGCTGACGGCGCCCTGCCCTGGACCTGGCCCCCGGACACCTCCGTGCCCTGATCGCTCCGCTCTCCGCCTCCACCTCTCGCTCCCCGGCCCGGCGCCCCGAGAGCCCGCAGCGGCGGCGGCGGCAGCGGCGGCAGCACCGCGGCGGCGGCCGGGCCCCGGCGGCGGCGAGCGGCGACCTCCTCCTCCTCCTCCTCCTCCTCCTCCTCCTCTTCTTCCTGCTTCTGCTTCTCCGGATCCAGCTTCGCGGCGGCGCCCCGGCTTCCTCTATGCCTGCGCATCCTCCGCGCCCGTAGCGCCCAGACCGCGTGTGCCTGTGCCTGTGCGTGTGCGTGTGCGCGAGTGGGGAGCCGTGTGCCGGGCGTGTGCGCGCGTGTCTGCCTGCGTGTGCGTGTACGGCGTGTGGCTCTCCTGGATGCCTCTCCCGACGGCCCTGTTCGCCGCTTCTGATTTTGCAACTTGAAGTGGCGGGGGGGGGGGGGGAGGGAGAGGAGAAGAGGCGAGAGAGCGAGAGAGGGAGCCGAGAGGGGAAGCGGAGAGACGGGGGGCTTCTAGGCGGGGGGGGGGGGAGCGCAGGGAGCGGAGAGGAGAGAGAGAGAGAGAGAGAGAGAGAGAGAGGAGGGGGAAAAGAGCGAGAAAATCCTCCGACGCCCCCTCCCCCTCCCTAAAAAAAAAAAAAAAAAAAAAAAAAAAATTAGCGAGAGCGCGAGCGAGAGGAGGGGGGATCGCGGCGAAAAATAAATAAAATAAAGAAAACGGCAGGAGCGGCTCCAGCCGGCGGCAGCAGGGCAGCGGCGGCGGCGGCAGCCGAGGCGGAGGCAGGCGGCAGGCACGGTCCCCTCGCTCCCCGCTCGCCCCCGGCGCCCGGCCGCCCGCCTCCCCCCCGCCCCCCGCCTCTCTCCCCGGCAGCCCGCAGCGAGACGCGCCGCTCCCCAGCACTTTTTTGGGCCCGAGATATGGCAATGGTAGTTAGCAGCTGGCGAGATCCGCAGGAAGACGTGGCCGGGGGCACCCCGAGCGGCCCCAACCCCGCAGCGCAGCCTGCCCGGGAGCAGCCGCCCCAGCAGCAGGGGGGCTCGGCCGCCCCGCACACCCCGCAGACCCCCAGCCAGCCGGGACCCCCTTCCACGCCGGGCACGGCCGGAGACAAGGGCCCGGGGCAGCAGGGCTCGGGGCAGAGCCAGCAGCATATCGAGTGCGTGGTGTGCGGGGACAAGTCCAGCGGCAAGCACTACGGCCAGTTCACCTGCGAGGGCTGCAAAAGTTTCTTCAAGAGGAGCGTCCGCAGGAACTTAACTTACACATGCCGTGCCAACAGGAACTGTCCCATCGACCAGCACCACCGCAACCAGTGCCAGTACTGCCGCCTCAAGAAGTGCCTCAAAGTGGGCATGAGGCGGGAAGGTGAATATTTCTTCCCTACTATGCTATCGCTCTCCCTTCCCGTGGCCGTGGCAGGAGCGCGGGTTCGGGTGTGCGAGCGGGGGGCGGATGATGCGTGCAGGGGTGCGCGGGGTGTGTGTGCCCCGAGATGCGCGGCTCGCGGCGGCGATCCGGGTCCCTCCGTATTTACATGCACATGTCAATCTCTCCCTCTGCCTGCACTCCATCTGGCAGCCCAGCGCCAGGTTTTGTTGTTGCTGCGGATGGTGGTTGGCGATGTTTTCTTCTGCTTTTCGGTTCGTGCCTCCTGCCCTCCTCCCGCCGCTCCCCACCCCCTTCCCCGGCCCCGCCGCTCTCTCCCCGTCCCCGCTCATTGTGCCCGGGATTTATCACCACGGTGCTCGCTACACGTTTATCGTGCGGTGCCCCTTCGCGTGTGCGTGTGTGCGCCTGCGGTGGTGGATGTGGTTTTGTCTATTGTTGGCATGAGCCCGGGGGTGGGGTGGGGGGAGATGCATCCCTCCGTACGAGATGTGCTCCCATTCAGCTTCCTTTCCCCCCCACCTCCCGCCCCACCGTTTCTCTTTAAACCCAAACGCTTCTCGGTAGCTCCATTCTCAGGCTCAATTTTCCTGAAAGAAAGATGAAGGACGTGTAAGTAGACAAGGAAAGAGTAAAGGGGGGAGAACGAGGGGTGAACAGGGGGGAAATGTGGCACGATCTCCCCTTTGCCGGTGCCCGGAGTGTGGTGCTCCGCGAGGTTTGGCCTTGTTTTCACTCCACGCGTTGTTCAAAGGAAAGTTTTGGAGCGAGCCGGGTTCTTGTGCTCCTGTCATTTTCTTATTTATTTATTTAATTTTTTTTTAGCACGCTGCTCGCTCGCTTTATTTCTTCATCAAACTCCACCCTCTCCTTAAAGCCTGCATACAAATCGCGATTTTTAACCTATTTACCGATCCTTCTCCTAGCAGAACTCGTGGCTGGCAGCAGGCTCCGTGCTTTCCAAGCGCTCCTCCGCTCCTTCCCTTCCCCTTCTGCTTCTCCAGCTCTCTCCGTGTTCCCTCGCAGGAAGGTCCCTGCCCTCCCTTTCCCCCGGTTCCCCTGTTTGGCCGCTGGAGTTTAAACCTAAGGTTGATCTAAAGGTGTCTGAGAGCCACAGCAGTCAAACGCTGTGTCCCGCTGTCGGCCGCAGCTTTCATGGGCTGTAACGCTGTATTTTGTGTTGCCACAGGAAAGGCAAGGGTGCCGCTCCAGACGGCCTCGTTGGTAGCTCCAGAGGCTGTAGGTCTGGGGGAAAAATAAAAGGGGGAGGGGAAAGAAAGAAAGAAAGAAAGAAAGAAAGAAAGAAAGAAAGAAAGAAAGAAAGAAAGAAAGAAAGAAAGAAAGAAAGAAAGAAAGAAAGAAAGAAAGAAAGAAAGAAAGAAAGAAAGAAAGAAAGAAAGAAAGAAAGAAAGAAAGAAAGAAAGAAAGAAAAAGGAAAGAAAGAAAGAAATAGAAACCACCCAAAAAACTTGGAATTGTGCTCACAGTGAATTGAAAAATCAGTGCTAAATTTAAGGCAGAGCCATGAGGCAGAGGTTGGCCGAGGGCAGAGGAGGAAAGGTGCGGCCCACGGACGCGTGGGAATAAAGGGGAAAGTTGTGGGAGTGTGCCACGTCGGGACGAGGGACGGTGCGCCGTGCGGGTGTGTGCGGGTATCTGCGCGGGGACCGGCCCGAGCAGCAACGTCTCTCAAAGTTACCTTTGTTTACATGGCATACGGCTGGGAGCGCGGTGTGGCACTGCTGGAGGGAAACACACACACACACACACACGCTTTTAAAAAAAAAAAAAAAAAAAAAAAAAAACTTTGGTCAGCGCTCGGGACTGGCGGCACGCTCACGCTCTGTGCGGAGATGGTTAATGAATCCGGTGTTTTTGCAGTTGCAAGCTTGTGCATTCACTGTGCAACGCTGACTGCAGGCTTTTGCAGTGGCGACAGCGCACCAAAGATATTAATTACACCGTCCCCTTTTTTTTCCACGAATGTTTGGCTATTGTAAGTGCGGACCTTTTTGTCTCCTTTCCCCCCTTTTCCTCGATAATATTTAATCTTTCTCTTCCTTCCAGCAGGGAGAACTTTGCGGGGCGGGGGAGGGGGTGCTCTCTGGACAGCTGGGCAACAAAGTTAGCGGTGGGAGTGGGGGCTGCGACCCGCTCCGCTCCGGGGGAACGAGGTGATGTTACAGAAGAATACAGACGCGTTTATTTTTATTATTGTTATTATTTATTTATTTATTTTCTGAACAAGCAGCACAGCGGTTGACTTGTAAATCTCGGTGCCAGCAGCAGGGCGATCGGCCGGGATCCGCAGCGAGCCGGGCTGTGCTTAACAGCTGGCTGTGATTTTTAACCCCACTTTCTCACCGCCCGGAGGATTTCTTTGATTTTACTTTTACGTGCGGGGCTGCCTTTTGTGGTGGGAGGGGAGGGGGCCGCGGAGGGGGGAGCGGTTTTGCCTTGTTTGCCTTGGCTCTTTTTTTCTTTCTTTCTTTTTCTCGTTTCTTTCCTGCTTTCTGCTTCTTTTTTTTTTCTCTCTCTCTCTTTTCTTTCTTTTTTTTTTTTTTCCCCTTTTCTTTCTTTCTTTTCTTTTCTTTTCTTTTTTTTTTTTTTTTTTTAATCTGTGCTTATGTTTGAAGCCTGTCTGTGCCGAGGGCGGGGGACGCTTGGCTGCTGCTTCTATGCTGGGGGTGCCGGGCCGGACCGGGCCGTGCCGAGTGGCCGATGCTGCTGCCGGCCCCACACGGCTCCGGCTCCGTGCCCGGCTGTGATGCGGCGGGGAGAAGCCCGGCATTGTCTCCATCCGGCTGGCAATGCCCGCAAGCCTCCAGGATGCACATTTCCTCTCCTTCTCTCCTTGTTTTTGTCAGCGGTTCAGCGAGGAAGAATGCCGCCCACCCAGCCCAATCCTGGCCAGTACGCCCTGACCAACGGGGACCCCCTGAACGGGCACTGCTATCTCTCGGGATACATCTCCCTGCTGCTGCGGGCCGAGCCCTACCCCACCTCCCGCTACGGCAGCCAGTGCATGCAGCCCAACAACATCATGGGCATCGAGAACATCTGCGAGCTGGCCGCCCGCCTGCTCTTCAGCGCCGTCGAGTGGGCCCGCAACATCCCCTTCTTCCCCGACCTGCAGATCACCGACCAGGTGGCCCTGCTGCGGCTTACCTGGAGCGAGCTCTTCGTGCTGAACGCGGCTCAGTGCTCCATGCCGCTGCACGTGGCCCCGCTGCTGGCCGCCGCCGGCCTCCACGCCTCCCCCATGTCGGCCGACCGCGTCGTCGCCTTCATGGACCACATCCGCATCTTCCAGGAGCAGGTGGAGAAGCTGAAGGCGCTGCACGTCGACTCGGCCGAGTACAGCTGCCTCAAAGCCATCGTCCTCTTCACCTCAGGTGAGTGCTGGGAGCACCGGGGGGGGGGGAAGAGGAGACGTGGGGGGTGGCAGTTCCCATGCGCGTGGGCTGGGAGCTGCGCGGCCTGTCCCACTCTGTCCCCATAAACACACGTATGGATATAAACACACGTATATATCCGTCAAATTAGGCGGAGGCGGTGGAAACACGCGTGCACGCATGTTAACAATTTTTCCCGGTGATAGATGGTTCGAATTAACTGGCAGGAAAGTGCATTAACTGCGCCTTTGAAGTGCTCTGGTTGTAGCCTATAAGAATATAATACATCTTCTATTATTATAACCTGCGAGGGGGAAATTTATAAACATCAAAGGCAAGCGATGCGAGGGAAATGTAGGAAATAGGAGCAAAGAGAGATAAGGGGCCTCGCAGTGTCATTTTTTAATCATTATTCTAATTATCACCACGATGGGGCTAATTGCCACTTTCTCCACTTGTTTGTTTTCGTTTTTCTCCTCTCCCCATATTCTCTCCTTTCTGCCCGGTTTGCTGTTGCGGGTTCAGTTGTGGTGCTGCTGTTGTTGTGTTTAACCTTGTCTCCCCACTCAGTGATGCCCAAAGAGTCTCAATAAATCTGACTTAAAACCAGGGCAGACGCAAAATTAAAAGCATTCCTGAACAAAGATGGCAAATCGTTCAGAGCCTGGTTTAACAGTAAGCAGTTTATAATCCATCAATATCAGTTGCCTCCCATGCATGAAAAATAGTATTTACATTGTATTAAAATGACTCCTAAATTTGCACAATATTGTAATGTAGCAAACGCAGTATTAATATCGATTTGAACATCGGATAATTTATTTAGACAGGAGCACCTAATTTGTATGCAGGGTGGTCGGAGCCGTGTACTGTGACTGCCCCCTTCTCCTTCCCGTGCAAATGCAGGCACTCCACATCGGAGGGAATGTTTCTTTGCAGAGGATCAAGTGCAGATCTTAAAACAAATGGAAGATGTACCGAATAGCCAGCGCCACATTTTAATGCATTTTATCTTAATAAATCTTCCTGATGGAAACACGTTTTTCAGAAGTGACAAGAGATCTGGCTGCATTTATCAGGCGGGTGCAGTGCACTGCAGCCCTGCGCTCCCCACCCCATCCATATCTGGGTCTCATCAGTAAGTGGGGCCGAGTTGAGAGAGCCCGTCCCTTCTCCGGGACCCCACTCGGAGGGGTTACACCCTGCAGAGAGGGGTTGCCCTGCACCCCCTTCTCAAAGGCTCAGGGGAGGAGGTTGCCCCACATGAGGACATTTGAGGATTTTTTTTTTTCCTCTGGCTTGGTTTTAGCTTTGCTTTTGATTTTATTCGTGTTATTGTTATTATTTCTCTCTCTCTCTCTCTCTCTCTCCACCCCCAGCCCCTTCTGCTCTCCTCAAATGTCCGACCTCGGCTGGAGAGGCAGCCAGGGGCTTCAGATGAGCCCCTCATTTAAATATATATAACAATCATAATAATTAAATGTTTACGAGAAGAGAAGTCCCTTCCCTCGATGGAGCAGAGCATGAATGGGGGTTGGAGGGAGAATAATATTATTTTGGAGCAGAATCACACGGGGCATCTCAGAAAATGGAAATACAGCTGTCAGGAGTAATCCACCCCTTACCCCCATCCACACATTTCCACTTTTCACTAAACTTGTTTTGATTGCTTAGCCAGAGGGGAATTCATGGGAAGCCTTGCTCAAAGTCATCCAACTTTTAAACAAACTTTGACTGATGGAAAAGACATTTTTAGGTATATTGTCCTAAGTCCTGAGGACTTAGCATTTGAAGCTGGTGTGGGTTCCTCCTGTTGTGGTTTTTACATTTGGGCACTGGATAGTATATCTAATGTGTAAAATTCTGGACGCCATCCAACAGCTGGGTCGTGACCCAAAACCTGCTGCTTTTCTTTATTTGTTATTTATTTATTTCCCCTTTTCCTTATTCCCAGTTATTAATTCCTGCACCTTTTTTCCTCCCCATAAATAAGCGTTTCCAGGAAGGGATCAGGCTAAATAACACAAATCCAATAAATCTATTTGCAGCGCAATAAGAACTTTGATTTCTAGTTAGATGCCGGCTGATTACATCTATATTTCCCGAGCACTAAACTCTTCTGAAGGCGTAACGTGAAATACATTCCCACCAGTACAATGGGGAAGGCAGGAGTGTGCTGAGCAGTAATGGTTATTTATTTACATAATTTCTTTTCCATAGACTGCAGGAAGAAATATGACACTTTTCTGTATTGACAGTCCACCATATGAGAAAGTGAGGAGCACAGAATTTCCACATTAGCCCACTTTCTGCGATGGGGTAATAATTCACCTCCAGTAAACGTGGGCTGTGTTGTTTCTCCCATAGACTGCACCTCCCTGGGCTCAGCAAGCTACGTACCTCTTAATTATTATTATTTTTAATCCCCTCCTAAAGGGAGAGTTAAGCCTCCCCACTGCCACCTTGAAGGATGTGATATACAACCCCAACAAATGCATCTGCCAGAACATTTGAAATAACCACAGCTGCAGGGGTGCCCTCGACACGAGTACACCCCACACGGGTTTGGAGGTGAAGCTCAAATCCAGCCCTAGCTGCACCCTGCAGCAGCACCGTCCCCATCCCTAGCGCCACTGACCTGTGGTATAGGTGGACCTGATTAATATTTTACTAACCTTAAGGGTATGACATATGGGGCATAAAGAGAGAGCCCTGCTAGGGTGTCAGTGAGACCCTTTCATATCACATTGTTTGGAAGTTGAATAGGATCCTAGTGCATAATGGGCAGATAATGCATGTAAAATAGCAAGATATATGTAAATATGGAGTGTGATTTGTGGCAATCAACATATGAACAGGCCTGTGATTTTGATATATGTTGCAAACAAGAACAGGCCCAAGCGTTTGATATATATATATTCTGCAACCTGGTGCTTTAGATGTGGGAAAATATCACTGCATTAAAAGTACAGTATGGATTAGCAGTGCAGCCTGGCTCAGATAATTGTACATCTGAGGGACACCAGGTCCGAGGTGCGGGTCAAAGGTGCCCTCTTCAGAAGTTCCTGAATTATTTGTGTTTTATTTGTATTTTCGCTCGAGGCCACAGCATTGTAGATGAAGGTGTTCAGAAATCCGTGTGAGGCCACTTCTTGATAAGGGCAGGCACAAACTTCAAATATCCCGTTGCTGGAGATTTTTTTTCCTTTTTTTTTCCCCCCTCTTTTCTTTTCCCCCCGCTTTGAATAATTTGTTGTGTCTTTCCAGGGTCATAATTCCGCATTCACAATTTTGTAGTGTCCTTTTGGGGGCCATTAACATTCATTAATTCATATACAGATCTATATATTAGCAAAGTCTGCCTTTGATCTGCGCTAAACCGCGCTGCCAGCTGACTGCCTCCCTCTGATCCTGATGTGTTGTTGGGCTTTTTCCTTTTCTTTTTTCTTTTTTTTTCTTTCCCTTCCCCCCCCCGTCCACCCCCCCGCCATCCCACCATATATATGTATTTATTATTAATCGGCGAAACAATGTGGATGTCGGAGGCGCTCCCCTTCCGCAGCGGCACCACCGCCGCCGCGCTGGGCTCCGTGTGATCGGGGGTGCAGCGCAGGGCCGCGCGGGGCCAAGGTGGAGCTGTGACCGCGGGCTGCGCGGGGTCAGGGCCCGCCCGGCTTTGTGTGCCGGAGATCCATGGGTCCCCGCAGGCCGGGCGCGGGGCGCAGTGCCCGGGGCGGGGCGGGAGGCTCAGCGCGGCATCCCCCGGCCTCGGCCTTCCCTTGCGGCTGATGCGCAGCCATGTCGGCAAACTCGCTCCGTGTGCGCGTGTGTGTGTGCCTGCGCGCGGCGGCAGCTCTCGTTCTGCTCCCCCCCCCTCACCTCCCCTCATAATTTTCGCTCCCGTCCGCCCCTCTCCCGCCGCCGCTATTTACCGGGGACGAGCTCGAAAGGGGCTCCGAGATGGGGGAGGTCTGTCACACACTGTGGGGTGAGGGACGGGGGGGGGGGGGGGCGAGGGGAGGAGAGCGACAGGTCGCTGCCCCCCATACATCCGCGGGTGAGGTGTTTATTATGGGGGAGGGGGAGAAGTGTACTGAGTGGGGGGGCTGCGCGCAGCCTTGCGGTCCATCCGCCGCCACTAACCGCTTCTCTTCCTCCCCCCTCTCCTCCTCTCCCTTCCGCACCCCCGGCCGCCTTTCCGCGGGCGCGCTGCGGCCCGGGCAGACGCCTGCGGGCTGTCGGATGCGGCGCACATCGAGAGCCTGCAGGAGAAATCGCAGTGCGCGCTGGAGGAGTACGTACGGAGCCAGTACCCCAACCAACCCAGCCGCTTCGGCAAGCTGCTACTGCGGCTGCCCTCCCTGCGCACCGTTTCCTCCTCCGTCATCGAGCAGCTCTTCTTCGTCCGCTTGGTAGGTAAAACCCCCATCGAGACCCTCATCAGGGATATGCTACTGTCGGGGAGCAGCTTCAACTGGCCTTACATGTCCATCCAGTGCTCCTAGAGCTCGGCCGCAGCCCGGCGGGGACGCTGCGCGGCGGCGGAGGCGGGGGCGCGCGCACCGAGGGGCGGTCGGGGCGCGGGGGGGGCCCGGGAGGCGGACACTGAACAAAAGAACGGCGCAAGTGGGAGCAGAGGTGTGGCCGCGTTGGGGAGAGGGACGGACCTCGCGTCCGTGCGGATCGTGGTGTTGCGGTTGGTCTTCGGTTTGGTTGGGTTCCGGTTATTATTATTATTTTTTTTATATATATTTTTTTTCCGTTTTTTTTTTTTCTTTCGGAGAGGAGGAAAAAAAAAAAAAGATAATAATAATAATAATAAAAGACAAAAAGGCAAAAAAAAATTAAAAAATACAAAAAAATAAAAATATGAGTATTGAGGGGATATTAATCACACCTGAAGGGGATACTGGAGCTTCCAGGATTTATTGTGGACTGTTGTTGATATATGCTGTACAGTAACAAACAAAACAAATCGCGTTGAAGCCGAACTGAACCTTGTTTAGAACGAGCAACAAACCAACGAGCGAACAAACCGACAAACAATTCCACGCGCAAACACTTACCACGAGCATTGTTACTCATTTTGTAAAATATTAGTCTTTATTTTCATTTTTTGTAAAACTTAAGACATCGTATGCGCAGAAAGAAAGAAAGAAAGAAAGAAAGAAAGAAAGAAAGAAAGAAAGAAAGAAAGAAAGAAAGAAAGAAAGAAAGAAAGAAAGAAAGAAGAATTAGGGGAAAATAACATTTTCCAAATAATTATAAAAAAAAAAAATTGTCCTGTGTCTATGTATCTATATCTGTTTTGTATTTTTTTCTGGTTCCAAACCAGGTTTCCTGTGATTCTATACTAATAATTTTTGATATAACCCTTTGCTTCTTATAATGAGTGCGATATATGTTGTCGAAGCTGTTCTTCAAGAATTAAAATTGAAGTGAGAATTTAAACAAAAATAAAAGAATTTAGCAAAAAAAAAAAAGAAAAAAGAGAAAAAAAAAAAATCCACCAAGTACTTATCACCCCACAACCCACGAGTCCTGTTGCTTGAAATATGCCAATAGTTCACCAAAAAGAGAGAAAAATAATAATAATAATAACCAAAACCAGTAGAGCTGCCTGGACCTTTATCTCCTGTGTCGGCCCTACAGGAGAGGATCGAGGCCCACGCACATGTCCAGTGTGGGACAGCCTGGCCGGAGCACAACACTGCGCTGCCTCCTGCGGGACCGCGGGATGCGGCGCAAAGTGGCCGCGGCTGCTGCGCCAGTCGCACAGACACGGTCCCTTTTCGTCTTTTTTTTAATATTGTTTTTTATATTGCTGCTTTTATGTCTTTTTTTTTTCCCTCTTTTTCTACCCTTCCCCCTCTCCCCCCCCCCCCCCCCCCCCTCCTCCCACCCTCCCCCATTCTCTGTCTTCACCCCAAAGACCCTCTGGGCGGCCTCTCTGCCCCAGCCTTTAGCAGGCACCCAGCGCTGCGCTCACGGCAGACACCTGCCCTGTCTCCGCTCCTCGCTCGTGTCCCGAGAGTGCTTTTATTTTTGTTTTTATCTTTTTGAGCCAAGGAAAAATTAAAGATCATTTTAGTAATGGAGCTGCTGTGGAGGTGAAGGCTTCACAGTGCTGCTCGGTCCCTGTAACAGCTTCCATCGCATTAATGTTTTATGGGATCCGAGACAGAGCTGTAAGAACACACACTGCCAGGGGATCTCTTTCTTAACGTATTAATAAAGCCGGATCTTTAAAAATAGCACTGCCCCCGCGCTCAGGCACCCCCCGTGCCACAACGAGCCCGGATGAGGCAGGTTCGTGGAGTCACGGGCGGTGTTCTTTTAATTTGCTGTCCTCCATCCTCTCCTTCTCTCCCTCTGCCCTCTCTCTCTCTCTCTCTTTTTGCATTAACAAGATCCTTCAACCCAACCCGCTTGGGGCTTTTAATATTCCAGGCGCAGCAGATCCGAGGCGAGCGCAGCTCCACGCTCACAGCCGGGTACCAGCGCTGCGGGCAGGCGCTGCGCGGGGGCGGCCCACGGGCGCCGCTCAGGGGAAGCGGGGGCTGCGGGCGAGGATGGGACGCGGGGATACCGTTCTGTTCCCCCCCCAGGTGGGGTGCCGGGGGCAGGCCAGACCTTGGTAGTGCTGAAGGAGCCCCCTGACCGCGCGCTGGGGTGGGTGGGTGGGTGGGAACACGGGGGGACCAACAGCGGGGAATGAAGCAGAGGAACGAAAGCGCGCGCGCGCACACACACAAAGCCACAAAACATGACAACAACAGAAACTCAGAAATCATTAGATGTTATAATTAAAAAAATAAAACCACAAATAGGGATAGCGGAAGAGAAAGGCAGCTCTCAGTGGCTTCCAATGAGATGTAAATATATTCATTACAGTGTTATCCCACTGATGAAAACAGATAAACTTTTTTTTCGTAGGTCAGAAGAGTATTTTTCAATTAATTTTCGTATTTATGGATAATTATAATGACCCACGATTGCCAAGAAACGTGCACTTGTGGAGGAGGTGTGCGAGATGCGCGCATTTCCATGCATGTGTCCGAAAGAAGTGTTCCGACCCCTCATTAAACTTTGCTGACACGACTGTGCTGTGTGCCGAGGTGTGAACTGCCCTCTCCGCTCTGCTCTGCTGCTCTCCCTTCCGCGCCGTTGCAGCCCTCGGGTGTACGGCTGAAAATACCGCGCGTCCGCGGCACCGGGCAGTGCTCTGCTGGGCAAAAAAAAAAAAAAAAAAAAGAGAGAGAAGAAAAAGAGAAAAGGAAAAGAAATGTGATTGTGTAGAGGGGCCGGGTTCCATCCACCACCAGCTCCCGCTGACTCGCCCGTGACTTACTATACACTGCTTTAAAGACCGCTCCTTGGTTTGAAACCAACCGCCCTCCTGTCCTGCTGTCATGCAGGGATGCACGGTTCCTCCGCACCCCTCATCTGCCCCTCCGCGGACAGAGAGAGAAGCGAGAGTCAGTGGGGGCCCGAGCCCACTCCTCCCACCCCAGTCCTGAGCGCAACGGCCCGCAAAGTGTCCTCCCCAGCTCAGCTGTCCTCCATCAAACAAATATTTGGAAATACCCCTAAATGGAGGGTCGAGTCCAGCGGGGACTGGGGCGCGGGGTCAGCCCTGCTTTCCCCGGCGGTGCTTAGGGCAGAGCTGCTGTCGGGCTGTGAGTGTGAGTGAAGGGAAGGGGGTACGGGGAGGGCGATGCCCCCTCTCGCCGCCTCCACTTGCGGGTCAGGGGGCTCTGAGACACCAATCCCGCTCCCACAGGGGTCAGGGCCGCTGCCCTGCGCTCTTTTTGTGTTGGAGGAGCGGGGCCTCTGCCGCTGGCAGAGATGGAGGTGTCAACGCGGGAGTTCCAGGTGCCCGGGCCGAGGAGGGGCCTGCTGAGCCGTGCCTCGGGGTCACTCTGGGGGACAGCAGAAGTGATAAGAACAGACGAAGTGAAATCCACCATTGCTTTTAGTGTCACGCGAATGGAACCCACCCGTCTGTCTCCACGAAGAAGCGAGAAGCTCCTTTTAGCAGACGGACAGGGTTCTCCGGATTTTGTTTTCCTTCCTTTTTTTTTTTTTTTTTTTTTCCCCACCCTTTTTCACTCAAATTACCTGCTGTGTATAGCGGTCCCCTCTACGCAAAAACACCCGGGCGGAGCGGATCCGTGCGGCCGCGGGGGGGAGGCTGCCCTGCGCTGCGGCCGGGACGGACCCACAGCCGACTGACAAACTGTCCCCGCAGTCGTGATCGCGGACCTCCCCAGGCTGTGTCCCCCCGGCGTGTGTGCGTGGCTGTCACGGGCACTGCCGGAGTGCCTCCTCCTGCTTCGTGGAGCGCTTTGGCTATTCAAAGCACGCATTTTTAAGCCTTGAAATATCAGCCTCGGGGTGGGTGAGGGCTTGGTTTGTCTTTATTGTGTGTGTGATTTTTGTTTTCTGGTGTTTTTTTTGTTTGTTTGTTTGTTTTTGTTTGTTTGTTTTCTGTTTGTTGGTTGGTTTCTTTCTTCTTCTTTTATTCCCAGACCCCCATCCTGTCCCCTCCATGCCTTCTTGAGGCAGACAGTGGCCGGTGCCCACCGCCTTTTCCCAGCTCACTTCCAGTTTCTTTTCACCTTAGAAAGCCGTGACAGCCACTAAACATGCAAATACATTTTTAAAGCCTCCTTCTGTCTCTCCCACTGTCACTGGCATTGGCATTATTTATTTATTTATTTATTTATTTATTTATTTATTTATTTATTTATTTAGTACAAACTTACCCTCACTCGTAAGGTTTTCACCATCGTGTCAGGGCGGCCGAGGATGATCGTTCTGCGGAGATACGGGAACGCAGCGGGAACCACAAACAGGAAAATGTCACAGGGCACAGAGCACAGCCACGAGAGAACATGCGGCTCCCCCCGCGCCATGACGTGGGGATCTCTGCTGGAGAAGCGTTCTCCAGGAGAGTGGAGAGAAGAGAGAGAGGAAAATGTGCAAAAAAGGGAGGAAAAAAGATGAAGAGAGGAGGTGAGCTAGGGGGGAGACGTGAGTGCAATTGGAAACTAATAAAACTCTTGTTAAAGTGCTTGCTCAGGATCCATGGCTTCACCAGGTCCTTTGCTCGCGAAGCCAAAGAGTTTTATTCCTAAATGAGTTAAAGAGCCATTTACCTCTGTCGTGTTCTATTCATCAAGCCACAAGTCGAGAGTCCCTAACATGAAACTATTTGTTTGCTTACACAACCAGCTGGGTGCAATTTCACGTCTGAGATATCTATCTGAAAGCGCCTCTCATTTATTATCCCTCCTTGTCAGCGAATCCATTTTCCAACTATCCCCCCACCCCCTCGCCCCTTCCCCATTCATCGCAGGCTCCGTTCTTAAACGATCCCTTAAATTTTTCGGCACCTACACCCCCCTCCCCTCCCCGCCCATCGGCGCGCAGAGCCGGGGAAAGGCTTCACGCCGCGAAACGCAGAGAGCTTTGACCGAGCTGCTCCTTGTCCCTCTCCATTTCTCCATTTCCCCACAGGCCTGGTTGCAGCAGAACGGCTTTTTCCCCTTTTCCTTTTTGATCAGACTTCACCAAGGGTATGTCCGGCGCAAGGTGCAGCCGCCGGGAGATGGATGCACGGAGCGTGCAGTGGGAAGGTCCGAAACAGTTGCGGGGATCCGGCCCGGCCTCCGCCCGGCCTCGGTGGTCCCGGCTCTGCGGGGGCCACGCGGAGGAGGGGGCGGACTCGGAGCCCGGGTGGGAGCGGGAGCGAGGAGGGACTTCGGGGTCTTTTCTGCCACCCCACGTGGTTCCCACCAGAAATACAAAGACGCTACGATCAACGGGCCCGCTCGGGCTTCGGATGTAATTGCGAGGAAAGAAAACAATTAACAAAAGGGGCAGTGGGAAACTGTATCTCCCCTCCCTCCCTTTACTCCCAGTTTTGAAAAGTCTAGATAATGTGAGCAGTGTTACCATCAGGGAGCTCTGGCCAACAAGAGACAACTGTCAGCGATGGCCGTACAGCAGTGCACGTATGTCACCTCCTCAGAGCTCTCCGTCCTGCTTAAAGTCGTGGATCAAACCCACAACCACAGGGCACGACATCTCCCCAGTTGCTACAAAAATAAGAAATAAAAGGAAGGAGGGATGAGATGAGATGGGATGGGATGGGATGGGATGGGATGGGATGGGATGGGATGGGATGGGATGGGATGGGATGGGATGGGAAGCGTGGCAGGCAGGCTACGGGAAGGTGCGGTGTGCTACGGGCCAGGAGCCGTCCCATTGTCCTGGGCTCAGAAGACCTCCGCTGCCCCCAGAGCTCGAGCTGCCCACGACGCCGCTCGCGCCCGAACACTGGGAGCCCCGGCCGAGGCCTCGGGTTCCGCACTCGATCCCCACGTAATCTTCCACGCACGTAGGGGTCACAGGGTGTTGCTTCAGCTCAGGGCAGGCAAGGGCCCTGCCGACGCCATCACTCCCTTCCCGCCGCCCTTAGGTTCCCCAGGGGGCCATCAGTACCTCTTTTTTTGGTGTTTTGTTTCAGTATTTCTCAGCCACTATACGTGCTGTGAGACCTGGCCCACGCGTGACACCATGGACGGACATGCGCTCTGGTCTTTTTTTTCCTTCCTAGGGCTATCTTGTGGCGGGGGGGGGGGGGGGGGGGGGCAGATCTGTTCTGAACGTCTGCACCCACTTTGAGCAAAGAGCCGGAAGAGAAAGGGTTGGGACTGAGCTCCGAAGGCCAAAGAGCTCTTAAAACTCCCGGGCTGCAGCCGCGCCGCTGCTCTGAGCGGCGCTTCATGGGCAGGAGAGCCGCGCAACTCCCAGCACAGCGCTGCGGCTTCGTGGAGCGATAAAGAACGCCGCTCAGGTACTTTTTCTTTCAGAGAGCCGTACAAATTGGCCCGTGTTGACAGATGTTTGTCACTTAGTAACTTCTTCCCAAGTTGTTTTCTTTTTTTTTCCCCCTCCCTCTTCCCTCGTCTAAGCCTTCTTCCGAGCCCGCTTTGTTGTTTTAAAATATGCATGTCTCTCAGGAATGCGAGTCACGAGTCCAAACTTCGTGTCCAACCTCCCACAAGAAATGATCCTTTTATAGGGAACCCGATATGTCTCAATCTGCACTTCACTCAAAGCCGCTGGATATAGGGCTCCGCTCCCTGCGCTCAAATCACCGCGCCGGAGAGCATTTCCAACCTCTCCCCCCTCCTAAAAAAAAAAAAAAACATGCGTGGCTCCTGTGGAGGAAATACAGCTCCCATGGTATGGTGAGAGGGGAGTGCAGCCTGGAGGAAGGAAAAAATACATAGGAAAGGGAAAGTAAAGAAAAAAAAGGAGAAGAGAAGGGAAATTTTGTTGCTGCGCGCGCCGCACAGCGCAGTCTCAAGCAGTGGGTTTGCCAAGGACGTGCCCCTGCGCAGCTCCGGGTGCGTGGGGAGAAGGCGTCAGCTCGTGGCGAGCGGAGGAGAGATGGAAGGAGCGGAGCCCAACTTCTGGAAAAGAGTAAGTGACCTTCGCATAGCACAGGACGGGAAGCGCCGGGCTCCGCCGGTGGCCGAAGTTTGCAACGAGGGGCGAACAATGGCGCAGAGGCTGCGGGTAGCGTGGGATGGAATGGGGAGTCCGGGAACTGCAGCCCCCGCGGAACGGGCATGGGATGGGGACGGGGACAGATGGGAGGTACCCACGCAGTAATTTACGTGGGGAAAAGAAAATAAAATAAAATCAGAGGGGAAGGGGAAGAGGGAGGGAGAGAGAGAAACTTCCCAAGCGATGAGAAACAGATGAGCTCTGCCTGGGTCACGCTCGCTGCCGGGCCGATGCGCAGTGACGTCAGTGGCCGCACACCCTATCGTCGTCAGAGCGCGAGGAGCGGAGTGGGGCCGCCCCCGCCTCCCCAACCCCCCCCTCCGAGACCGGGAGCCACTGCCAGCGGTGGGGCCGAGCCCGAGGAGCCCTCGGCCGGCGTCGTACTGCCCTGCGGTGCGCGGAGCGTCTGGGGCCCGGGAGCCGTGGGTACGCGAGGCTCCGGCAGAAGTACCTGCAGATATTTCCGAGCAGACGGCTCGGACCAGGCGACACAAACCCCAGGGCCCCGGCTCTGCTCCGCAGCATTTTATTGCCATTACGCTCCTTGACGGCACCGGTCCGGGTGGTGACCCTTTTTTTTTTTTTTTTCCCATTTGAAGCATTTAATGCTGAAGCACTGCGCACAGAACAGGCGGGCCCCCCGCTCCGCTAATGATACTGCCTCCCGTGTCGCTACGTGTGTGCGCGAATCAATAATGCATGGCCATATTTATTCTGCATGTTTGATAAATAACGTTCTGTTTGTTAAACCTCCATTGAGAACGCTGATGGCAAACATCAACCAGCGATGAATACTGCTTACGTTTTATTACGAAGCCCGCTCACCTCGCTCCCACGCACCCAAACCGCCCGTCACGCGGAGAGAGAGATTTCGCTGCCGTGAGGGACGTCCCCATCCCCGCAGAGCCTCTAAGAGTTCCAGCCACGGAGGAAGGCGCTCCGGGGCACTCCGCTACGTAGCGCTACTAGCGTTACGGGGACCGTGTCCCGCCGCGGAGCTCTGCGCCTCCGCTCAGCGCACGGCCCAGGTGCCCCGTGCAGATGCGCTCGCCGCGCGTGAGCACTTTCCCCACATTTGTGGGAACTCTTAAAATACATATGTAAAAAATAAATGCTGCCGAAATCACAGAGGTTGGGCTAGCTGCTGTGACCGTACTTCGGCTGTGCCGAGGATGATCCGCCCTAACCATGGCACAGAACTCAGAGGAAAGGAGCTCCGGGTGCTCTCCAACGTTACGCGTGTGCATAGCCACAGAGCGGTGCGTGGAAAAATTAACATCTGTTTCCCTACAGTAAAGTGCTCCACGTGGCTCCTTCCGAGCGCTTCCCTCAGCTTGAAGAGAAATATGTGGTGATAAACTGGCATCCATATGCATATCATATTGGTAATGGTGTTAGGCTCCGGAGGTAGCTATTCATTGCATAAGCCATTTAGAACTGACGTTTTGAAAGCTTCTTAACCTTAGACATCCTTGCATCTTAAAGGATTCCCAACGATGTTATTTAAGGAGGAATTTGCTGTAATTTAATTGCATATCAAGAGGGAATGGCACTGTCCTGGACGCGGAGCCCACCTACGCTGCATCCCGCGGCTCTCCCACGCCCGTTCCTCAGCGGAGCCGTGCCTACAGCCGCCCTGTGCCGCAATGACAGGTCGGACCGTGCAGGACGGCCGCCTCTCGGGCAGCCGAAGGGATCCCCACTTTCTTTCCCTTTCCCCCACAAATGGGCCTTCCCCCCACCCTTGCCTTATCCAGCGATAACTGTCACGATACGGGGAAAGCGACCCCCCGCGGGGCTCTGAGAACCGGAAGGGTTCCCAACTGCATCCCCTCCGTGGGCCGGGGCACGGGGGTCAATTTGGCAATCCCGCCAAAATCCCAAGGGGGACACCCCAACCACGGGCCTGCTCTGCGGGGGCCTTGCAGCCGGGGGTGTCCCGGGTGAGATTCCCTGTGTCTGTGTGCGCACTCTGCGTGGGTGTGAGGGCAGGGGGACTCAAGCAGTCAGATCCTCTCTGAGTCACAGGGAGCTTCTTCCCTTTTCATTTTCTTTTTGCATTTCTTTTTTTTTTCCTTCTTTTTTTTTTTTTTTTTCCTCCAGCCCCTCCCCCATCCCACCCCCCTTCTCCCTTTATTTTTTTCTTTTCTTTTTTTTTTTTCTTTTCCTTTTTTTTCTCTCCCCAAAGGACATAGCATCGCTCCTTACACGGACACGCGGACCCCCAGCCTTCTCCTTCTGTGCCTTGAAGGAGCGCTTCATGCTCTCCGCCTGGGCAAAGGGTTGGTAGGGGATTGCCACGTGCAGTTACGGGAAAGAAAAAAGCACAAACCTACAGTTCTGTCTTGGTTGGTAAAATCATTAAAGTATGTGAAGTGACGTGGAGTTTGGATGTATATGAATACAGTGGACGGAACCTGTGAGGAGGGTCCCACTTTAGGACAGGGTATTTATTTAAAGATGTTGCATCTGCAGGGGAAAAAAAAAAAAAAAAAAAAGAATATCCCACAAAGCCCCGTTATACACCGATAACAAAACGTGTCACATCTTCACTTACTGCCGCAACAGAGCCGTGCCCTCATCCGAACACCTCCGAAGTGATTATTGGATTCCTCTCTGATAAATCAGTTTGTGAAACCGAGCTGGGAGCACACAGACAAAAAGGTGGGAGGGGGGGAGGGAAAAAAAGAAAGGGAGAGAGAAGAGAGGGAGCTCTGTTCGCACCGCGTACATCCTTCATTGCACCTTCCCAGTTCCGCGGGAGTGTCCCTCCGCCTGTTCTCCTTCCGAAGGAGTTTTCGTTGGTGCCACAGGTACATGCTTTGAAATAAGAGGTTTGCACTTGGGGTGAGGAAGGGGGAAACCCAGCCCATATTTTCTATTATTATTATTATTGTTGTTGCTATTATTATTACCCCAATCAGATACGAGAACTTTTTTTTTTTCCCCCCTGAGAGTGTGGAATGAAGGACATAGAGATGGTGTATCGGTGAAAGGAAGAAAGTGGCCTTTTAATGAAACTAAAGGAAACCAAAACGCAGACGAAGTGCACCATAAAGGCTGCTTCAAAATGCTAGGTGATCCCAGAGCGCAGCTACCTCGCAGGTTTGGTCATGGGGAGCGCACCGCGCAGAGGTGTGTGTAACATTGTTTTTCCCTTCGATAATTATAGATACGTGTCACAGACTCTTTGCAAAGAGCCAGGAGACAGCAAAGACCCTTTGCTGCTGCAAATGAAGGAAGAGAAACAACGCCATAAAAATATATATATATATATAGAAAAAAAAAAAAAAAGAAGAAGGCGAACCCAACCGTACCTGCGCGCTGCAGGGCGCGGCGGTCCCCGCCCCACCGCCGTGCCCCGTGCCCATCTCCCGACCCTGGCTGCGCTGCATCACAAGTCCGCACAAGCGACGGAGCGATAAATCCTACCAAAAATAAGACAGATCTCCACATCGATGTGTAATAAAGTTAAAGGACATTGTTTTGTCAGACAAGCGCTAAGTAGAAAATAAATCTTTGGGTCTGGGGAAACAAAACGCAGTGCTGTTGGCATGTGTGTAAATTTACTTTTAAAAGCAATAAATCAATGTTAAATTAAACAGCTGGGTTCCTATCTCGGAGAATGGTCCGCGGTGAAGGAAACCTCGGCGGAGCCAGCTCCCAGTCCCTGCCACATCCTCGCGGGCCGGGGGGCACCCACCGGGGGACACCCAGACATGGGGTACCCCTTTGGGGGGGCACCCGACCTGGAGGTTCTCAGCCGGGGCGGGACCTGCCCCGATCTTTGGGGCCCTGCCGAGCCGCCCCCGCTGCCTTGCGCCGGGGTTAAGCAGAGTAACCCGCCGAAACTGCTCAATGCTGGCATTATCCGAGCGCTAATTTCATCATTTCTGCATCAGGAGGCAGAGGCACGGCACGCAGCCCGCTGCCCTGCCTGTCGCTGGGATCTAATGGGGACCTGCCCGTCTGCGGGGCGATCGCGAGGGGTGCGAGGAAATGGGGTGCACCTGGCACGCTTTGTGTGATGTGATCCTTCGGATGCTGAGAGAAGGATAGAAAGGGGGGAAAGGAGAGAGGAGAAAACGGGGAGAGTAGAAAGAAGGGGAGAAAAGAAAGGGAGGAAGGAGGAGAGCAAAAGAACGTGGAGAGAAAATAAATATAAAGGAAGGAAGAAAGGAAAATGGAAGAAAAGAAGAAAAATAGGAAGAGGGAAAGAAAGAGAAAGAAGGAAGAAGGAAGGAGAACGGAGCTGAAAAGACGCACAATAACAATGCAGCACTCCAGTTAGACGCAAGACGAATCAATAAGTTATTAAAAGCCCCGAACAACAAAAGCAATATTGCTGAGCAGAAAACAGCTTGGTTTTCTGTTAAAGAATGTCTATGTCTGACCAAGAAATTTGAAGTTATCAAGTAAAATTTTAGAAGGACTGAGAATAAAGGTATTTGAACGCATTGGCTCTCACTGGTGTTACTCATTCTCTCCCAAGTACGGGGACGAAGGCTCGGGCGGAGGATTCGCGGTGACAGCAGTAGTGCATTGCCTCCCGTCCCTCTTCCCGCTGTGTACATACTGTTCGCTTTATTTTTGCAGAAATAATGCAAACAAGACGCAGAAGCATTCACTTTTTAAATTTATTATCATTATTTTTTCATTTTTTTCCCACGAGATCCCTGCAAGTTTCAAAAAAAAAAAAAAAAAAAAAAAAAAAGGTGACCCATGGCGGGACGGGTACCGCAGCGGACATCTCACCCGGTCTGCCTTTGTTTTGCTCTCTTAGAAGGGAGGATCCCAACACACGGCAAAGTTGGACGCTGTGTTAGTTTGTTTGCAGATAAAGGCATTTTGATCTCCAAGTTCCACCCCGGGAGCTGCGATCAGGTAACAGTCACAGCAGTGCATTCTGCTCTTCACAAACAGCTTTGGCCATTCGGCCGCACTCTGAATGCTTCACGCATAGCCAGGACAGAGCCCTGCTTGCATTTTGCTGCACTTATTTCTATTTCCCACCACAATAAAGTCCCGAAGGTCGGTCAACACCGCTCAGGTGCACTCCGCGCACCTCCCCCGCACTGAAACGCGCGCGGAGCAGAGCGTGCGATAGGGGAGTTAATTAGGAAAGATGGAGAAATAGATTATCCTAATAAACAGGCGAACAAATGAAGGGCAAAGAACCGAGCGGTCCTCTTGGATGATAAACGGAGCTGCCCTCCCTAGTTCCCCGACGTCTGCAGCGTCCGGGTGGCGGAGGAGATGCGGGGGCCTCTGCGTTTTCCCCACGCTTTGCTTCGCGCTCAGCTGCGCGCTCTGCTCCGCACCCTCTCCGCGCCGCCGCGCCGCTTCCAGGGGTCGGGGCTAGATGGCGCTCCGCCCCGCGGGACCGCAGCTCCGCGCCCGCGGCCGCGCAAAGCCCGCGCGGTGCCCTGGCGAGAGGGAGTTGGAACCCACGCGTGTTCGCGGCACCGCGCGTGGGGTCCGCGCAAACGGGGCCGGGTTGTGCCCCTGGTCACGAAGGGTGCAGGGAAGTTGCGCCGCGGGTGGGAATGGGAACTCCGTCATTATCCGATCAAAGCAATTGTGGCGCGTTTAAAGTGTGAGTGTCATCAGAGTGAATGCGGCCTTTGGTCCCTTCAGGGCTTTCCGGGGTGTCTGGGGGCTTTTCCCCACCGTAACTGCTAACACCCGCGGCAGGCATGGACAGCACTCAGCGCTGGGAGCAAGGGAGCACCTCCCAGATCCCTTCCAGGGCTCCATCGCAATTTTATATTTAAAGAGCAACTGGCAGTCCTGTGCGGGAGTTTTGCAGAACAAATCTCAGAAAAGTTACCAAGAGAGAGAAAACAAACAGAGCCCTAACCAATGATTTGGACCACCGGGTTGTAGCCACCACCAGAGTTGTTATCACTTGGACTGGGAGCTTTCCGTCACCTGCATCGGTCCCTCTGTACCCGAGGGGAAGTGGCCTATTGGAGGGGAAAGAACAGCATCAGCACACCCCGGGAGCGCTCCTGCAGAGGGGCACGGGGGCGGTGGTGCCCAGAGCGCACCTGGGCTCATTTTCCCGGAAACGTGGCTTCTCCATTCCGTCGGGAGGAATCCGAAGGAGAGCGAGTGTCCCGACTGGGAAGCCTCACTGAAGATTTTGGGATGATTTGGACTCGGTGCCGTGGGATTTCCCACCCCAATAGGTGTTGGGCTGTGACTAGAAGGCGCTGAAAACCTAAGGCGGAAAATTTACAACTTGATCAGCTCCAAACCACACACACCAGAAGAATCTGCTACTGTTGCAAACATATGTTACGGATTAAGTTAAGCAAATGGCTGTAGCTTTGCAAGGTTGAGAGCTGATAATGAAAACTTGCACGCTAAAGAGTTTGGATTTTGTTCTAACTGCGGTTGCTAAAATGCCAACAAATCCCCTGTACCTTTCCTCACAAACGCAGCCCGAAGCCCCTCACTCGGCTGCGGGGAGCCCTGCCAGCCGCCCGCCCGGGCCGGGATTCGTTCGGGGCACGAAGCACCGGGAGTCACAGAGCTCCCCAGAGCCTCCCGATCCTGGGCCAGGTCCAGCCTGGGGAGGTTCCAGGAGGGACAGCCACCGTCCCGCGCCCCGGCACCGCGGGAGCCTGAGTTTGTTTTTTGTTCCCTCTCTCCTCCTCGGCGCAAACCCTCGGGGCAAAGTCATCTGTCCTTCCCCACCTTGCACTGAGGAAGACAGCGGTTGTGAGGAGGAAGGCTGTATCCGAGACCCCCCGCCCCCTCCTCCCCGTGCTCGCCTCTTCTCATCTCCACGTGCCGTCCCCGTACCCATGCCGGTCCAGACTGGCACTGAGCGTCACTACCGCAGGGACGGAGCCACGACTGCAGCGCGCCCAGAGGCGTGATGATGGCCGTGAGCCGTCGGCCTGGCCCTGGGGTGAGGCTGGGGCGTCAGTGGGCATCGAGCTGAGGGGGGCAGAAGGGGCTCGTCCTTCTCATCGCGAGCAGACGGAGCTTGTGTGACACTGACAAATGGGCGAAAAAGGCGGCAAGTCCTTTCCGACAACTTTGAAGGGTTACGGGAAGAGGAGTGGAGAGAGCAGAGGAAGTCTGAGACTCCCTATCGGGTCGGAGAGGATTTATTTCATATCAAAGAGAAAAGGAAACAAAAATCACCAGGAAATCAAATAAAATAGATTTCCCCTTATTCTTAGAAGAATCTCTTCTCCCCGGGTAGCGAGAAAGCTGAGGGGAGAAATGTGCATCTGAGCATGGACAGCATGGGGACAGTGTGGGGCAGTACGGGACTGCAGCCGATGTCACAGACCTGCGGCATGGGCTGAGCTCTGTGGAGAGAAAGGGCGTAATAGGAGACCTAAAATAGCAATAACAAAAATGTAAGAAAACAATCACAAGAGAACATAACTGCCAGCGCTCGGGGCTCAAACTGCGCAAGTTGGGGTGGACTGAAACGAAACTTCAGTTCCCCTTGCTGTCGGGGAGCACGGGACGTGATGGGGACTGGGGGATATTTCCTAACCATGGCAAAAGAGTAGTGAGAGCCAAAGCTGTTTCCATCTTCCCTAAATATAGACTCAATTTTTTATATACTATACTTATAATGAAAGAAAGGTAAGATGAAAGAAGAAAAAGAAAATAAGTAAATATAAGTTAAACGGAAATTCCAAATGAACATTCAGAGCTACAAAATGTTCAAGTCTTTTGTTCGTGTGGTTCAGCCGTGGTGCGGGCGGCTCCCTCTGTGCCGCAGCCGTTGGGCGAAGCGCCGCGCGGGGGGAATAGGACAGGGGGCAGCTCGGACCCCCCTGCGGCAGCGCTGAGCCGTTGGCGGAGTGAGCGGGGCCGGCCAGCTCTAGCGGGACGAGGGCCGCCAGAACGGAGCATCCTCAAAGGGCTTGAGGACGACGAGACCCTGGGCCGCCAGACGGCTCATGATAAAAACGGATTCCCGGTCGCGATCCTAGAGGTGTCCCGGGAGGGAAGCGCAGAGGCCCGGGCTCTCCCCGGGGGCCATCCCAGAGCCCAGGTGTGGAGCCGTAGGACAAGCTTTCGTGCTACCCCGGATCCGGGGGTCACGGCGTGAGAGACACCCTGGAGAGCCGGCTGCAGTGTCACGGAAATTGAACTTTTTTGTCCCTTTCTCATTTTCCAGCTGCGAAGCGCACCTAGCAAGCCCCAGTTCCAACCCTCTCCCTCCGAGGCAGCCCAAGGGGCTCCCAGGCGGGGGGATCCTAGGCTTTCCCTGTTTGGGAACTTGTC